TCATAAAAGAAGTAAAATACTGGCAAACTTGAAAGAAAGGAGTATCACTACGAAATAATAAGGTATGGACCAAATAATCAAGTGTTGACCAAATAATACAGAAACACCACGTAACGAACGGCTTTTCGTTTATTTATTTTTTCAATGATTTGTAAAATGATAGATTGTGCAAGATGCAAACAAATATATTTAAACTGGTAAGTAAGTAATTATTGCGTTGAGACGTTTCAACACAGGTCAGCCGAGGATTGATTAGAATAGATGTGAATGGTGGAATGAAATAGTCCTTCTTTTCTGCCTGCGGCTATGACGGCAGGTATCAAGAAGAAAGAAGATTGCTAACGATGGAATAGATCATTACCTGTCCTTGCCCTGAATGCACTGAGAGGCTTAGGTTTGACACTTGCAGCAGGGCGGAGTATGCGAGCAAATAAAACAAATTTCTCTTGCTAAGGGAGGTGAAAACGAATTACCGAAATGATTAAATATAATAACCATTACCAAAGCCACCATCAAAACTAAAAATAGCTAATTATTATAGACAACAGGAGGCGAAGTAGGAGATAAAGGAGAGGAAGAAGCTTGATAAACAGCGTGAGGCAAAAAAAACCAAAAAAAAACAAAAACAAGAGGAGGCTGCGAGAAAGGAACCTCCAGCCATTGCAACGTCGACCCAGAGAAAGGAACCTCCAGCCATTGCAACGTCGACCCAAAGAAAGGAACCTCCAGCCATTGCAACGTCGACCCAGAGAAAGAAACCTCCATCCCTTGCAACGTCGACCCAGAAAAATAAACCTCCAGCCATTGCAACGTCGACCCAGAGAAAGAAACCTCCAGCCATTGCAACGTCGACCCAGAGAAAGAAACCTCCAGCCATTGCAAGGTCAACCCAGATACCTACGGCGGAGATAGAGACCACAAAGAAGCAACCGGCCTGTTGCAGGCTTATACCAAGAATCACTAATGTTGATCTTATACCAAGAATCACTAATGTTGATCTGCGACACCATGCAGGGACCAATGGACCAGGCATGAACCAGGTTTGCGATATGCGGCTTACCCGACCTCTACTGAAACTGGGAGTGTTCAACAGCGCGTAGATGTGATGTGATGTGATTATGATTTTTAACGTAGCTTTAACAATTTTTTAGTCATATCGCTACGATGTCTGCAGTGTGGCAGTTCATAGTGATGTCTAGCACTGGGGCATCATGCCGAAGACATGTAGCATGATGTCCCACCCAGTTACATTATCATGACACCAGGTCGACCAGTCCTAACACTAACCTCCTAATGCTGAGTGTCAAGCGAGGCAGCTGTTAGTACCATTTTTGTAAGTCTTTGGTATGACTTGAGAAAGATATGGTAAATGGGTGGTCACTCTAGCCACAATAATCTGCGACCGATGTTCGACTTTATTTCAAAACAAAGTGATTGCCCTCCATAATTATAATTCCATGAAGTATAGATACTGGCTCCTAGTTTATTCAAGATAAGAACTTACATATCTCGTTATTTTTTAACATTTATATATGATTTCCAAATTTCTTTCCACATCTCGCAGGTTTTTTTTATATAAAAGTAAATATAAAAACGGGGACTTGAGTTCAAATTTAAATTTGTTTGGGAGACAGTAGAGGCAATCAAAATTCTTCACTGACGTGAATCGCCTGAAGTCAACACTTTGCAAAAGCGCAAAGTGAGGGAACTTAGAAGCTAAGAGTGTAGGGGGACAGTTTTATGCACAAATTGAATGACGCATACACTAGGGCTAATATTTTTTTAAAAAAAATAATTTAAAATAAAATGCACAAGGAAACAAAGATCAATATTTTTGTATAGCTATAATAAAACAAAGCATTTATAATAAAAAGTATTCCCTTGACCAGATAGGTTAATGAGAGTTCATAACAAATTAAGTTTATCCACCCCAAATTTATGTCAGAAGGTCATTATTGACAGCAAGTGATGTTCACAATTCAAACGCAAGCAGTTTTCCTATGTAATAATTCTGAAAAACATATTGTACGAAACAACTTAATACAGAATCAAAATAGTTGCCAATCTAGGCATTTTTTGAGATATTGAGCTTGAACCCACATGTCTACTGTTATGGCTAGCTAGCTCTTCTTCCTAGCCGATTATTGGTACTTCGCTGTGTACATACTGCAATATAACTATGGGGGAGTAGGGATCTATATATGCCTCACATCACTTTCAAAAACACAGACATATAATTCACAAATATATTTATATCTTTAAATATTAAACAATAATAAATGAAAAAGTCACAGCATAGATGTAAGTTAAGAAATTTGGCAAAGGCCAATTTACGAAACAACCGTATACACTGACTTTTAACCAAGTCCAACTGCAAAATGCATATACCCAGATCTGTCATCGCATCATGCGCCGGCAGATCTGGGTCTGTGCAGTTTGTTATAAATTATCAGTGGAACAAAACATACTGAACCTGATCTGCAGGCAAATTATGCTATGG